AAAAATAAATATAAAGTGAGCACTGTACACTTTGTATTCTGTGTTATAATTGAAATCAATATATTTGAAAATGTAGAAAACATACAATTCATTTAAATAAATTGTATTCTATTATTGTTTAATCACTTGACAGCCCTAATTAATATGTAAATTCAGGCATTCCAAGGCTAGAATGAATAATTCTTCCTTATCAAGCATTTCACCATTCTTGGATAACAGGAGAACTTTTCTGCAAGGTTTAGCTGGAGTTAAGAAACAGGCACAACCTCTAGCCTCCAAATACTACCACACCTTATTGTATTTAGCCAATTTTGAACAATAACCTACACGTTGTTTGTGAAAAATGTACTTGCCTTGCAAATCTTCCATGACCTCAAACATCCCTGGATAGTTGACTTGAATTTCATCAGTATCCTAAAAAATGTTTAATTCAAGTGTATAGGTAACTAAAGCAAAACAAGAGATTGCTCTATGAAAAGAAAATAATTTGCAAGACTATACAAGTTGTTTTACTACTTGTCTCCCATTTATGCAACATAATTACACTAAGAAAAACATTACACATGGATAGCCATGTCTACATTCCTATAGAAATATGTTTAGTAACTCAATTTGAATCACCAAATTCAGATTAAAGTGCCATTATAAGCAAAAGGAAGAGAAAAATAGCAATTGACCGTTAGTGTCTTACATTTTTACTAGTAGGTCTGAAGGTCTCAAAATAGTTGTGTGGACCAGAAGCTAACCAAGCCAAGCCTTGCTGGACCTCTAGGTGCAAAAAGCACCACTTCAGCTGATCTCAGTAAATTATAAAGGTGCTGAGACCAGAGGAAGGCTAAAGTAGCCAGGTGTTTATATAAAATCCTGTAGTTTTGACAAGTTAAATTGTAAATAAAAGTAAAGAGGCAACCAATTCCTAACTAGCTGATGCTGTGGTCTTCAAGGGAAGCAATGGATTATTGCCCTTTGTAAAGCACAATCAGGAGATGGATGACAGAAGGGAGTTTCGCATCCTAAAGGAAACACTGCAATCTCGTACCTATCGATTTTAAAAACAGTATAACCACTCTACTACTCAAGGTATACAGCAGGGGTCGGCAACCTTTCAGAAGTGGTGTGCCGAGTCTTCATTTATTCACTCTAATTTAAGGTTTCACGTGCCAGTAATACATTTTAACGTTTTTAGAAGGTCTCTTTCTATAAGTCTAATATATAACTAAACTATTGTTGTATGTAAAGTAAACAAGGTTTTTAAAATGTTTAAGAAGCTTCATTTAAAATTAAATTAAAATGCAGAGCCCCCCAGACCAGTGGCCAGGACCCGAGCGGTGTGAGTGCCGCTGAAAATCAGCTCACGTGCCTCCTTTGGCACAAGTGCCATAGGTTGCCTACCCCGGTATAGAGTATCCAGAATTACTCTGACACATCAAACTCCTTTTGCAAGAGGTATACACAGTCCACCAAATGGAGATGTCAGTCTCCATAAACTACAAGAGTTGTTTTACACTGCTCAAGTAAAAGACCACCTTCTGCAAGTCCATTTCCATGTAAGGGGTTTTAAACATTTATGAAAGAACATGAATATAATATTCCAATCTCTATGTACCCAAAGTTTACACATTTTGAATACAAATTTCTTTTGTGGTCCATATTCCTAATACCAGTGTGTAACAGTCCTGACATGAACAGCAACAGATCGAACACGTTGATTGTTCTTCAATGCATTACTAAAAATTATAGCAAGGTTCAATACAAGTTCAGTCAAGATACATTTCATACAGAACACACAGTACTTAATTACAACACATCTACGTTACTAAGGCAAATGAGCAATTGACTTAAACCAGAACAGTGGGTTCCCACATCTCTGAATAATCAGGCCACTTAGTTAGGCACCTATGTCCATATTTAAACACCTCCAACATGTAAATATTTACCTCAATTAATGTTAAAGAAAGAAAAGGTTTAGTTCATTGTAAAGCTCAAGGCATGTAGTACACACAGTTTAGCAACAATTATGAGGCAGCTTTAGGAGTCTGGGCACAATTGTTGTTTTGTGACTGACTATCAACTAGGTCATGTCTAGTATACCTAGTAAATGCACTCATTTAATTAATATGTTTATATGTATTTATTTAGTTTCATAAAAACATTAAGATGCTTTGGACAGTTAATTTCAAGGTGAGTACAAGTTCATGTGGTTTGTCATTCACCAACTTAAGTTTTTAATTTGCACCTATCACTGTAGTAACAAGTTTTTACCTAATACCACCTTATGACATGTATTACTGCTAGTCTCAGCACCTATTTTGGAGCTAGAAATATAAAGAGGGATCTTTGGAGCTAGAAATATAAAGAGGGAAAATCACTATCACCTTAGCTATGACATTCACCTCTGATTTAGTCAAGTCAGACTTCCTTGTTAGTAAAATTAAGAGCAGACTACTTATGCTCAAGGCAGAACCAATCCTACGAAGGCAGGTAATGTCTTCTCCACTGCAATTTCCTAAAGCTTTGAAACCATGAACACAGATCAACAGTACATTTCTGTATTAGTTTCCATGAAGATAACCTGCCTTTGCTAAAGAATCATGCTGTCTATCCCATGGAGATATGCCATGCCCAGGTTATTTGCTCTATTACCTCCCTATTGAAAGGCTAATAGAAACAAACCAACATCCTTTATCCTAGAACCCAAGGAGTTTAGTATTACTCATTGGCACCACTGTTAATTTTCCAAAACTGTTCCACTCATCATATTGATAATTACCACAGTCAATGTGTTAAAGCCAGCTCTTCCCAGCAGATGTCCTAAATCAGTGACATCAGTGAAGGGAGATACATGTGGTGAGAATCCTCCTTCTCTTTCCAGTTCTGCTAGCTGCAAAGAGCAGCGAAGTTCATACAGAGTTTCTCCTCCAAACATGGCACCAATAAATACTCCATCTGGCTTAAGGACTTGATGAATCTATAATACAGAAAATCTGCTTAATATTAAAGGTCTGCAAATGTTACTATCTGGTACAAAGTTCTTAAAAGTTTTCTTTTTGCCTGTACAGAAAGGATGAAGCACCAAGATCACTGAAACAATTGAGTATCTCCTCCCCTTACTTTCTAGCACTTGAAGAATCAGGGTTAAAGAAACAAGAAGCTTAAAGTTGGATGTTTTATTTCTGTTGGAGGTTCTACTTTTAGTTCATTTTATACAGGAAATATTAAAATACCTGGTAAGACTAGATCAAATAAATGAAAGTGTTTGTTGTAATCAATTCAATTTGCTGTCTGAGCTCAGCAGTAATCCGCATCTGTAAGATATCTTAGTTAAATTTCTTTATCACACACTATACCAAACATTCATTCAACACAATTTGTTTTTAAATTGCTGCAATAGCAGAATGCAACTGAGTGAAATTTAATATCATATGATGATTCAGGGCCCAGTCCAACTCCCACTGATTTAGAAAAGGCAAGGCAATTTTACTTTTAATTGACCGTTTTCAAGCAAATGTATCTGATTTTGTATGCTGAAACATAAGTAATTGTGCACACAAGATGGATCTTAAGTGTGTGCCTGGATTTCTGAGAAGAGTATCGGGTTCTATTAACACGAGGAGGTCCTGCCAAAGTTTTTAGTGGCATAACAGGCTATAAAATCTTCCATACTGAACCAAAGTCATCATTTTGCATTTGTGCCTCAGAGCAATTCCCTAGGAAACCAAGTACTACCAAATCGCATTAAATTCAAAACATGCCTATGCATAGGCAAGACTATTATATCTGCATGGCAAATTCTTAACAGACACAAGAACATCTGCAGCTATTTACTTGTGAACAGAAAATACAGTAGGACAGGTTATGTATTTTTGCCATACTTTTCCAGAGGTGTATTGTAAGTAGTTTGAATTTTAAGAGTTTAGGATAGAGAAGTAGACTTCCCTCACTTTCCAAAAGTGATTTTTGTTCTTGTGAATGAGTGACAAGTGGAGGAATTTGTGATAACAGTCTGTCCTTAGATCATGTAGTAGTATAACCATCTCTGATCCAGAGAAACCCCTAGGTTGAAAGAACATTTTAACACTCTAATTCTTTAACCCCTCTTGTGAGAGTGCCAACAAGCTTCATAAATATTTTGCTTAGCATAGAAAACTGTTCACTATGAATGGACAAATAAAATAAGTCAGGTAAACAGATAATCAGACTTATCAGATAGTAACAACTTGCAGTCACCACTTGCCTCAGATGAATTCCAACTAATGTCATTGAGGTAAAAAGTCTCTTGACTGATACCCTTTTTTTTAAATCATCCAGTTCTGATGAAACAGATAATTTATATAAAATACGTAAGTGATCTGACTTACAAAGTAATGTGCAATGCAAGATATTGGGGGAATGAGTAGAATTAAATCAGGTTATCAGCCAAGGTGTCTTATTCTGTGCTAATGTTGAGACATTTGATCAGCTAGTCAGCAGACAGCACCTTTCAGTAACTACTATCAAGTATATGTGGCATAAGTTTAAAAAGTTAGCTGCAAATCCATTACTTTAAGCCATTGGTCCAAAAGTTACATAGTAGGAAGTTAGTCATAAAGCACAAGCAGTTTTTAACTGAAGAAAATTCCTTTATATCTAGCTGCAATTTGAAAGAGATTCTAATGTAAGAAATACTTCTGCATGGAAAATTATTGCAATCTAAGAAAGTTGAATATAACATAACATGTTTTATCAACTGCTTTGAGACTGGAATGTGTGTACAAGTTATGTTATATGTTTGGTTATCACTCAGGAAGACACGTGTTCCACAGGTTAACCAAATGACAATCTTAACAAGGTATCAAAATCAATATGGATACATCAATTCACAACTGTTAATTTTGTCATCTCAGGTATTTAAACCTTTATCAATACTAAGTATGTGAAGAGTGGTGTCATTTCTTTTCTAGCTAATGTCTCAAAGTAGCAGAATTTGAGTCCTCTTAATGACAGAAAACAAAATGGGTGGACAGTATTAAAATCATATTTAATCAGACTTCTAGGGATATGACCAAAAATATTTCAACACAAACTGTCCTTACACATCTTAGAAATAAGCAAAAGAGGAAGGCAGTACATATGAGAAGTAACTGCAAACCAAAATTAGTTCTGATTACCGGTAACAGCAACAGTTTTTCTTACCTCTCTAAAAGCTCTAGGAAGGTCATTCACCCAATGCAAACTAAAATATAAAGTGTACATTTTATTAAGGTTTAAGTGGTGAATAAAATTTGAGTAAAGGCAAGTAGTTGTCACAGCAAAAAACACTTCAGAAGCCAAAGCAAAGAACTAATATCAACTCTTCCCCAACACAAGTTTTTAATGTAATTATACAAGTTGTCAAATATCTGCACAACAAATTTGATAGTATTCAAGAATGACTACATTCATATACAGTACTATCAAAGATCTTTAAGACTAGAAAATGCTTGACTTTAGAAATACCATTCAAATGCCATTGCCCAGTTAAACCCTTTATGTTCTTGGGCAAGAACATCACTATCCCCTTATCTGATTTTACAAACATTTAACTTTAGTCAAATGATTAATACAAACCTTAAACTGCTAACAACAAGATCAAATGTGTCTTCTTTGAAGGGAAGGAATTCTTCATCAGCTACAATACTGACAGTGGGGATTTCAGTTTCCATAGTATTTTTCTAAGTCAGGTTAGAATAAATACACAGAATTTCAAACTGCATTTGATGCTATATTTCTTTTGTTTCTCAGTATTGTGGAATTAAAACATGGCAGGCAGAAGTCAGATTGCTACTCACCAGAGCATTCTCTGCCATATCAACTTGAAAAAGTTTTTCAACTGTTTCCTGAAATAAGAAAAATCTGTCAAATATTTAGATTTATAAACCAACAAGAGGCAATCTCTCTGAACACTTTAGGTGTCTTACAAATATTTTAAATACAGTAAGTAAAAACAGACAACCTCAAAAATAAAAAAAAATCCACTATGCATTCTCCCCACACCTTCCCCTCCAACAATGTTTGCTTCTTCAGCGTCCCTCCTAAACAAGCCACACTGCCAAGCATATGTTAAGGTCAACAGATTTGTGCTATTTCAGACTGGGGTAAGGGCATAACACAAATTTAAAAAGCGCTTACAGAGTAAGCCTTATCAGAGCCCCCACCTCTTATTCTGAGATAGGTCCAGCTTGAGCACATCTGAAGATCTTATCCATGGCAGTATGGCATGGAGAAAAAGTCAGGTAGGAAGGTTTGATAGGTTAATACCAACACCTTCAACTTCACCCAAAAACCCACAGGAAACCAAGTGCAGATCATGGAGCACTGATTGATACACATTCAGGGCAAGAAACTCCATTTATCAAGGAGGTGGTGGGGGGTTCTGCACTAGCTTTAGTTTCTGAAGAGCCTTATGGTGCATCCCAATGTGTGCATTACATTAATCCAGCCTTCAGATAACCAGGAGATGCATTATGATGACAAAACCCATTAAGAAAATTATAGTAAAGTGCTGGAGAAGAGGTTAGTGTTGGGCATCATGCTACTGTCAGCATAAAGAAAATCCAGGAATTATAGTTTTAAAGTCATTACAGACTTAATTTACACTATGTGCAGCTTTGATACTGTACACAGTTTTAGAAATTTTTTTGCTTTAATCACTTTGTCTACTCCAGTCAATAAAGGTTAGTTTAATCTGCTACTTCAGAATCAGATGAATTAGCCTTAAAGCTTTTCTTTATGCCACTACACACTGGATGCATGTATGTTCTGTATACTATCACCAACTGAACTTATCTACTGAAAAGCACAATGTTGCCCCGGAAGAGTTATTATTTTAGAAAGACAAGGTAGGTGAGGTAATATCTTTTTTGAACCAATTTTTTTTGGTGGAAGGTGCAAGCTTTTAAGCTACCCAGAGCTCTTCTTCAGGTCTGGGCTCTGTGTAGCTCAAAAGCACGTACCTTCCACCAACAGAATTTGGGTCAATAAAAGATATTACCTCACCTACCTTGTGTCTCTCATATCCTGGGACCAACTTGGCAACAACAACACTGCAAACAACTGTGTAAAACAGTATTTTAAAGTATTTCATAAAAACAAAAGACTACCAAAAAGGAATAGATCCTCAGTTTATCTTATGTGCTAAAATTTAATTATGGTCTTACTGGTTACTTTCCAGTAACGAAGTCTAAATATGGAGGAGTGGGTGATAGGACTTTTCATCTTAAGAACACCAGTTCAAGTCTGACCCAACGTGCTATAAACTGTAAGTTACCATCTACTGATGATTCAGTGATCTGTGTGAAAGGAATCAGTAGTCTCAGTTCCGTTCATAATGGGAAGATGGTTCACATCACAGAACCACTATTGCAATTGGTCTCTTTGTTGGCAGTTTTAACTGAAGTGACAAAGACTGAACTATCTAGCCTCCTGGGCAGTGATTGGGGGGGAGGGGAGGCAAAGCATCAACTCCTCCCCTGAGGCCACCAGCATGGGCTGGTCTATCTCCCCTTCAGGACCCACAAACCCTGTAGGAATAGGCAGCCAGCATGAGTTCCCCACCTTCCTGGGGGTGGTGGGGCTTGGGCTTCAGCTCTGGCCTTGTGGCGGCAGGCTCCATCCCCCAGCTGCAGGGCTTCGGGCTCCAGCTCTGGACTCATCCCCCGACACGTTGCCCCTGGCACCTGCTGCCTCCTCCAGTCCCCAGCCATGCAGCAGAACCCCAGGCTCCTGCCCTGGGCTCACCCCCCCCCCATCGCCCCTGGGCCCCCTACCCACCTCCCCAACCAGGGCTTAATTTGTTCTCCTCTTGCCAGGGCTGAGTAACTCTGCCATGAAAAGTGATATTGTTAATATCACTTTTCACAGACTCCCAACTAGCTAGCAAGTCTGCTGTGAAAAATAATATTAACAAAAAGACAAACATCATTTTTCACAATAGCAGACTTACTAGCTAGCAATTCTTAACACAACAAAAAATAACACCCACCAAAAAAGGCAAAGCATGCAAAGCACCTTATTTGTGTTTCTATTCTGTTTAAGTCCAGTAAAGAATAGAGACAACTGTACATTATTTTTAATTGTTGAGACTGCAAAAAACACACACAAAAAAACCCCCTACATAAATAAATTACAGTGATTTGGACATGTGTATGTGCATATTTATTTGTTTTTCCTAAAGTTAATTATTTTAGGAAAAATTATCAGAGTGGGCAGCAGCAAGAGTTGGTTGCTGCACTCTGAGGCCACCCAAAAATTTGTTGTGAGAACCCCTGGTCTAGTGTACATCTTTCATGGCAATACATTTTAGAGGTGCGGGTGGGAGAATTACACCTCTAAAAACTGACTTAAAAATTAAGAAGCAACAAGTTACACACGAGATTTCGAAGAATCTCTAAGTTTCATTTGTGAACAGCACAGCATTACAAGAATTTGTACTATTTTTAGACACAAGCATAAACATACAGTACCTTGTTGAGATACTGAGCTATGTAGCCACTTCCACAACCAACATCCAACGCAAGAGAGAACGTTCTAAGCAAAAGAATTGTAAATTCCTTAGCATGCAAGTAAAACTACTATATTTCATAAATTTATGAAATTCCAAATATCTTTTCTGACTAAATAGGATTTCAATTAATGTCAATATAAACAGCTTAAAGTCATTTTCCTTTGGTGTATATTGCCCATATTTCCTTTAAAGGCACTTGATGCATGTAACTTGAGGGCTATTTTCCCCATTTATGACTTCACGTGTGTTTTCTTGCCATAATAATTCTAGAAAATAAAAATATACAACTTCATTATATGTTCTATTTACATAAAAGTTACGTTAAGTCTTTAACTTTAATTCAAGTTTCTATAGAATAAAACACTGGCTTCCAAAATAAGTGAATGTTTGAGAAGGATAGTAAGGACATCTTACACAATTTTTAAAATCTACTTTCTCACGTAACAGTGGCAAGCTTCTCCTACCAACGGCAAGAGTATAAGCCATAAACATCTGCAGAACTAAAACTTGTGAACCAGTGTAATTCCATGTAGTGCTGACTTCCTGACTTGGCAGACATATAGTTGCACTGCCTCTGCTGCTGCTGCTCACAGCTTTGTGATACAGCAGCAAAGCACTATTTACAAGATGTTCAGTTTAACTGCTACTACAGTAGAATCTCAGCTTTATGAACATCTTGGGAATGGAGGCTGTTCGTAACTCTGAACAAAACATTATGGCTGTTCTTTCAAATGTTTACAACTGAACATTTACTTAATACAGCTTTGAAAGTTAACTACGCAGAAGAAAAATGCTGCTTTTAACATCTTAATTTAAATGAAAAGCATAGAAACAGTTTTCTTGCCTTGTCAAATCTTTTTAAAAAAGTTTTAGTAGTTTACATTTAGCACAGTACTGTACTGCCCCACTCACTTTGCAGCAAGCTCCTCTTTTTCTCCTGCCAGCTGAACAGGGATGAAAGGAGGATAGCGGGGGGAGAACTTCACATTCAGACATCTAATAGCTACAGACTGAAACAAAAGACTGGGCCCCCTATATAGCATTCAGAGACAGCACTCTGATAGCGATCCCACCAACCTTCCCACTCCCACTTTGTGTGTGGGGCAGGGAGGAGGGCACACACGCAGCAAGGGGAGACTAGGCCAATAACTAGGACGTTGCCCCTGGACCTTGCTCAGCTTCTCCTCAGCTTCTCTAATAACCTGTGGACAATGGGAGTCTCGTAAGTTTGCCAGCTCTGATATTATGTAAATTCTGAAATACCTGAGAACTGAATTTTTATTAAAGGGACACTATAAATCTAACTTCTGTTTGAAAGTGTTTTAACACAAACAAGACCTACAATTACTGTAACTGAAAGATCAGAGGGAAAATATTTCTTTCTTTCTTTTTTTTTTTTTTTAAACTTTGTACATTTGACAGTATTTGATCTATAGTCAGCTTCACAGTTTTTCCTGAATATTCAACTCCTTTACTTTCCCCAAATATGGGCCTTACACAACACAAGAGTAGGAAAAAAGAAAACATAAGAAAATGTGGTGATTGAACCACAAAAATTGGAAAGGGGACTCAGACAGATATAGTACTAGAATCTACTTTAATTCATACTTTTAACTGGGTAGATTCCAGAGTCAACAGATACTGGATATCTCTTGCTCAAAATTATTAACTTACCTGGTTATGTCAAATACCCGGTCTGCTACTCTACCACCAACCTAGAGAATTGCAAGAGATTAAGATACAGGCATTATAAATAAGAATTAACCATCAGCTACCCATCCCTGTTCTCCCTGAGAGTAGAAAGTTCTTTGTAAGCAGTGCAGGGTGGGGACAAAGAGGGAGGGGCTGTTAGAGGGTCAAACCACAGAATCCTGGGCCAGGTCTACACTAAAAGTTGTCCCAGTGAAGCTCACACTTTTTTTCAGGACAGCGTTGCATGCATCCACACTTAATTTTGTTACCTACCAGCAGAACCCTCCACTTCTTCTGGCATAGTTTTGCTCCTTTTCAGGAGCAAAGCACCCTGCTTGTATAGTTCTATACAAGCACAGTAGCAATGTGGACATGCACAAACCTATACCACCATAAGCAGTACACCTGCAATCCCACAACACAATATTCCCTTCAGGAGCAACCTGTCTGGTAGCACTTTCAGACTGTGCTGCTCAGGAGTCAAAGCCACCAGAAGTCTATCTCACATTATGGCACTCTCATGGGAACAAGACTATTGGCAGTAACTTGGCAAAGAAGATAGCAAAACTCATTCTCCAGGCAGGAGTCTCAGGGCACGTCTTCACTAGCAACAGCAGCGCTTTCACGTGGCTTGTGTAGTCGCGGCATAGTGCTGGGAGAGACCTCTCCCAGTGCTGTAAAAACAACTCACCTCCACAAGAGGAATCGCTCCGAGCGCTGGTGCACTCTCTACACTGGCATTTTCCAGCGCTGAAACTTGCAGTGCTCGGGGGGTGTTTTTTCTCACCCCTGAGTGAGAAAGTTGCAGCGCTGTAAAGTTCCAGTGTAGACAAGCCCTTAGTGCCTTGCAAAAGGGGAAGGGGCTGAGGAAGGAGAACAGAAGGTGAAGGAAAATAAGTTTTGGAGTCACCTGCCTGACCTGTGCCTTTTATGAACTGGGTGCTTTACCTATCAGGGACCCTACCACCTCCACTGTAACCACTGTGGACACTGCATCCTGAAGAGAAGGAACCCCACACTCTAAAGAAGAGAAACAGGCTTCTCCCCTCCACCCCAGCCAGCAGACAAGGAAGAGGTTTCAGCATGGGCCAGAAAGGGGATAACTAGGGGGAGTACAGCCAGGATCTGTTCAGTACCCAGCCAGACCCTGAACACCTTACACTGACACCCTTTACCTCTGGAGGAGGGAGATGCATGTGATCGTTAATACTGTACTCCACTGTATAAACCACATTGTAGATGGATGCACCCTAACCCTTTGTCAAGTGAGTGTTGCATGTTCGCAAAAGCCTGAAAGAGCTGAAGTGGCATCTGCCTATATATCCTTTCCTCCTGTACAGCCACAAACCACATTTTCATTACTCCTTTCCCCAGCTATCCATTTTTACAGGGCTGGTCTACACCCAGCCGCTAGTTCGGCGGCTGGGGATCGAAGTTCTGGGTTCGACTTATTGCGTCTGGTCTGGACGCGATAAGTCGAACCAGGAAGTGCTCGCCCTCGACTGCGGTACTCCAGCTCGGCAAGAGGAGTACTGTGGAGTCGACGGGGGAGCCTGCCTGCCGCGTGTGGACCGCGTCTGAACCGCGGTAAGTTCGAACTAAGGTATGTCGACTTCAGCTACGTTATTCACGTAGCTGAAGTTGCGTACCTTAGTTCGACTTGGGGGGTTAGCGTAGACCAGGCCACAGTTACATGCTCAGGGAAATGGTTGCACATTCTCAATGCACCCCAATTATAAACCCAAATTAGCACCCACCTTTTACTCCTCTTCCCCACCCTCTCGAAATGGGAGACAAGCACATGAGAGGAGAAGGGGGTTTGTTAAAAAAACACGTTTGTATGGCGCGGGTCCCACCAGCAGTGCAAGGCCACGCTGGTAGCGGAACGAAGGAGACAGTATGGACACCACGTTATTGCATGCAGGTGACGTACATGTGCTTTGTTATGTGTATGACGCTGCGGGAGCCGTTTGGCTGGTGACAGACACACAACATTGACTGGCACCGCTGTGAGTGCGGAGACCCCCCCGCAGCAGGGGCGTCACCTCCTCCTCGCCCTGCCCCTTGCCGGGCCGAGGGGATGGCGGCGGGTCTCCGACGGGACCCAGGGGCGGGAGGAGTCACGGTCCCATCTTCCCTCCCTGGCCGCAGAGCCCCGCAGGGCGGGGGAGCTGCTCCCCGCCCCTCTGTGCTCCGGAACCGGCGGCGACCGAGGTCCCACCTCCGCTCTGGGTCCCGCCGTGAGGGGACAGCGCGGATCCGGGGGGGGGGGGGGGTGTCTCACCTCCTCCCTCAGGTAATCGTACTTGGCGGGCTCGGGCTGCAGCGCCGCCCAGTTCTTCTGCTTCCGCTTCAGCTGTCGGTCAAAGGGGCTGCGGGCCCCGGAGCCTGGCGAGGCGGCGGCGGCTTCCCCGGACGCCGCCCAGAAGCGACGGCACCAGCAGCCCGAGCTGGCCCGCAGGAGAAGGGAGCCGGGCCCCCGGAGAAGGGCGGCGGCCCTCATGAGGGGGCAGGCAAAGGGTACTCGCTCCCGCGGGGACAAAGTCTCCGTCCGACCAGGAGGCACTGCGCATGCGCTGAGCTCCCCCACCCCTGCCGCGGCAGGCCTGCCAGGGGCCAATCGTTCCGCCCCTACCACGCACAAGCGTCGCCTCTGCCGAGAGCGTGAGCGAGAGACAGCTGCGCATGCGTACATGCTCCATTCCAGAGAAGCTCACGGTCGGGTATTTGTCCTGTCTGAGTCTCCGTCGTGCAAGGGCACGTTTAGTGGCAGTTAGGCGGCGCGCGCGAGAGAAGTGGCATTGGGCAAGCGGCAGCAGGTGAGTGAAGTTAGTAGGGCCGAGCTGTTAGTCGGGAGCGCGTGGTCCCCAGGGGATATGTCTTCTCCCCCCCCCCCCCCCCCCGCGGTCGCGTGGCCTTGGGGCGGGCTGAGGAGACGCTAGGTTGAATCCGTTCGGGGAAGGCCCTGTGGTCAGCTGAGGGAGGCGGGGGCATTGCCCGCCCGGGCCACGCCGCGAACCTGCGGGCCGGGCTCGCGTGCGGGAGTGGCGTGTCCAGCCGCCGCTGCGGGCCCGGCCGCGGCCCAGACCTGCTGGCTGGGCAAAACCTCGGCCAGGCTCGGGGAGCGGTTTGTTTAACCGCACCCGGGAAGTGACTCGCGATCGAAGTGACCCCCCTCCCCCCCACCCCCCCCGATGCTGCGCCGGCTGAAGTCGCGCTGCCCTGGGCGGAGATCACCGCGCGGTTTCAGGCAGGCCAGTCTGATGGATGAGAGCAGGGAGCCGGGACACGTGATTGCAAAGACAAGGTGCGTGAGGTAATATCTTCTATTGGACCAATCTCTGTTAGTGAGAGAGACCTGAAGAAGAGCTCTGCAGAGCTCCGTAACTCGTCTCTCACCAACAGAAGTTGGTCCAATAAAAGAGATTCCCTCATCTTTTTGCGGATACAGACTAACACGGCTGCTACTCTGAAACCTCATCCATTGTGTCTCTAATATCCTGGGGCAAACACGGCGGCAACAACAGGGCAAATAGTAAGATTATGCAGCTGTTCAGCATTAGCGCTGGGCTTGTTCGTGGTTCCAGACTTCTTAATAGTCCGTTTCCTGCAGTGTGTGTGGGAATCCAGGGCTGGTGGTGAACCACTAGGAGAAAGGGTAGCTGCTAAAGGTGCTAGGGTACTTCTCACAAATCTTCATTCATTGGTTAGGGAAGTATTTTGATACCAGTGTTCCTCAGTATAATTTGGTTACTCATTGTCATTCTCCTCACAGTCAGAGCGAGCTATAAGAGGAATTATAGAAGGAAGCTGGTGAAAGAGGATAATTATAAATTCTTAATTCTAGAACTAGATACTTACTGTGCTAAGGGAGTGCCCCCATTCTAACTACAGAACATGTCTTGGTAAAGTCAAGTAAGCAGAATAGCGGTTATTTACCTCAAAGTGCTTACTGTACACAAACATTATTTTCTTTTTAAAATGTGCTGATAAGCAATTTACTTA